CAGCAGGTTTCCAGCCATCCGTTGGTGACAGCGGGATCCACACGCCTCCAAGCTGGGAATCTCATGGATAAATCCGTGTCACCCTGGCAGTCCCACCTCTCCTGTGTAGCAAATTCCTCACAAATTATATTATCCATCTGTGTCTTTTTGGAATATGTGCAGGTTCATATCCACCTCCAGCTGCCCGCAGGTGAGAATTCGTAGGAATTTTTGGATAAAGCAACATTTTTTCAGGAATCAGGGTGGAAACAACAAGGGAGCTGCTCCTTATCCCATCTCAGCTCTCAGTGGAATAGAGGAATCTCTGCTTGTTGTGTCACTTGAAATATTAAACCAGAATTTCCTGGCAATACAAAACGTCCCCTCGACTGGAGGAGGAACATGGAATAAAGATGGACAACGTTGTTGTGGCAATGATTCCGCAGCGGATGCTGGATCCTGTCTGGATTTATTTCTTGTGCGATTGGAGATCTGGAAGAGGAGATGAAAGTTGCATTATAGGCGAAACGGAACTGTGAAGGGTGACAAACAGCAACCAAAGAGAAATAATCAAAATAATAGAAAGTCAAACAAGAAAAAACGGAGAAAAATGTGTCTGATAAGGGAATAATATGAGATACTGGCAATTAGGATCAATCGTATGTAGGAGTAATGACAAGGAGAGTGGCTATAAGTGGCTTTGCAGTTTAATTCTCTGGACAAAACCAGGACAATGTGTTTTGCCTGTGGCGTGGAAATGTGTCCCGACTCGGAGGCCACGGCTCAGCTTTTCCGGAGAAACCAACTGGAGAAATCTGGGATTTGTCCCGGTGGGGCACATGGGATCGGTGCCGTCTCCTTCGTGCTACGGGGCCTTGGGGAGATGGAGCATCAAGGATGCATCAAGGACGCTCCAAAATGCTGCACTTTAGGGATTTGTCCATTGAAAATCAACGTGAGCGGGAATTCCATGCCCAGGGTGGGGAAAATATCCAAGAGGAGAATCCCGTTCAAGCATTTCCTGCACGAGCTTGTTGGAAATGGGAATATATAGCGTGGAAGAAATGTTGCCTGTAAATAATGAGCTCCTAATAATTAGCCCCTCAACTACATATACTCATTTAGACCTCATGGAGAATCTTTGTAAGACCATGAGTTAAAGGCATGACCACATTTAAAAGTGGAGTAGATCTAACAAAGTGTCCTTGTTTAACAGAATTAAACCCGAGGTTAATCCAACTTGCTTAAAACTTGTTTAAACTCGTCATTAAACGTTCAAGTTGAATTGTTTAACCCAATGAAACGGAATCCAAAGCCAGGCTTCGCGAGCTAACGGGGTGTCCCCCTTCTCTCCTGTGCTTCTCCCCACGCAGTGCCCAGCGCCGTGCCCCAGAACGTGTCCCTGGAGGTGGTGAGCTCGAGGGTGAGTCGTCCTCGTTGCCCCTTTTTGGGCTAGGTAGCCCAGCCGCAGGTAAGCCCCGGGCCTGCTGGGGGATTCCTGCCTTCCTGCTGCCTCCATTCCCACCTCACGTTGCAGACTGCAAACACACGTAGCCATCCAGGTTCTGCTCCCATTCGGAACGTCGTTTTGCAGGTTCTCTTGCAGGTTGGGCTCTCTCTTTCCATGCCATTGAGGAAGTAGGTTGATATTATCTCCTAATATTATTATAGGCATACCCTATAATAGGTTTTAATTGTGCTTCCTATTTATCAAGTGCTATTTCCTAATATATTCTGAAATATATTTGGGTTTGTGCCCTTTCTTTTTATTCGTATTTTGGATTTAGTGAAACTATATTAGCTTTCGTATTCTGTCGCTTCTCCCTACTGGGCCCATTTAGAGGAAAAACACATAAAAATCCCCCAAGTTTTGTCTTTCCAGGATCCCTCAAAGCAAAACCATCCCCACGGACCTGCTCCGGAGAGATTCCCCTGGGCACAGTTAGCCACAACCAGGAGCCCAAAGCTGATTTCCAAGAACACTGAGTGCCTGTCAGGTTCATCTCGCTCCTCCACTTCTTCTTTTCATGAAATCAAATGTCTGTTCTGAACATTTCTTTCTTCCTTTCTTGGTTTTTTTTTTAAACATCCAGGCACAGTTACTTTTCAATTCCTCTTACATGTCGTGCCCAAAGGGCATTGATGTCTTGGAACATCTTGTTCCAAACCCCTGTGTTTACTTTTTCTTCCTTATTCTCAAGGGAAAATGTCACAGAGCAGTTGATCAGGTTTCGTGACCTTCTCCAATGATCATTCCATTTTCAAGCATTTTAGAACAAAACCAGGAAAACAAGCTGCAAGCAGGGGATGGGGCACGAATCCTGCTACCCTAAGACATATTATTGCATTAATTCTTTCTTATGGGTATTTAAGAGATAGTAAAGACATGAAGATAGAGGTGTCCACAGCCCCGTTTTGTCTCCATGGCCCTCGTAGCTCCCTTGGCAGCCCTCACAGAGAACTAATTCAATTAAACCCAGCCAATTCCCAGGCTGATTAAATCAAAACAAGTCGCTAAATAACCGCGCCGCTCGCTAACTGCCTTTCCATCGTGCACAAAGGAGCCCAAGGCTGGCCGGGGCGGTTTCCAGAGTTGTTGAAAATTTTATCTCCATTTTAATAAGCTTTCTGCCTTTGTGCTATTTTTCTTCCGTGCTGACAGACCTATTAATTTAATAACATAACGGAGATGGCCGAGGTTGATATGAATTGCTGTGATGGTGATTATTGCTGGATATTGAGCGACTGGAGGCCTCAGCCGGATCGGAATTGCTCGGAATGGGGACGGGGACAAAACCACAGCTCCCTGCCCCCAAACTTCCTGCATCCTTTGGGGTTATCCTGGATTTTCTTCTCCCACGAGTTAATCACGTTCGGTGTCTTCCTTGGAAAAGGAGCACGGTGGCGGGGATAGCGTATATCCATGTGCACATGCATATGGATGCGTTCCCCTGCGCTTGAAATTCCGTGCATGATTCAAATCGAACACAAAAAATAACCCTTTCTGTCCTTGCTTTTGGGAAAAAATGCAGCCATATGTGAATCGCTTCTAATGGGAAGTCAGAAATATAGTTCTGATTTGTTTTTCTGTTCCAAAATGCTGCTTTGCTCAAGAAAGAGGGCGGATGTGATGTTTAATAGATGAACGGAGTTTCATCAAGGAACTGTCTGCTTCAGTTCTCCCACTAGCAGAACCAACAGTATTTATGTATTTGTTTGCTTCCCTTCTTCCTTTAAATATTGATGGTTTTTTCCTTTCCGTGCTTCTTAATGTTTGATACGTGTTAATACTTGGCAAATTGGAACTGTATAAATAGCTGTCAGGTTTATTCATTTAAAAATCTGTTATTTTATTTCTTCTTCCCATTTTAAAATACACAGCAAACTAGAGGTAATATCCTTTGATCACGCTGAGCGCGGATTTAATCCATGGATTGATAAATGCTTCCGTTCAAAGGAGTGGGCATTGGGTTCATGTTTCCCATACTGTAGCTGGGGGTCTGAGGACAAAACCTGGAAAATTCTCCTGGTAAAAGCTAAAAACAAGGTAACAAATCTGGTTTCTTCCTATATTTTCCCATGCTTGTGTGGAAATGCCCACCACACATACAGAGAAACTTGGTGATCGTGATCCCAAGAATCATTCCACAAAGCAAAATTTATACATTTCTGGTATTTTTAAAGGCACTATAAAAAAAAACCACAGGAAGAAGTTTACATTTTCAAAAATGACAGGTTTTTCTTCGAACTTGGCCTAGGATAAATTGGCTTACTTGGGATGTAGCATCATTTTCTCTCCTCTTGCAAAGCAAAGAAGCAGCAGCACAGGGTAAAGCAGCGCTGAGAACACCCTGGACGCTCCAAAACTGTATCCGAGGTGGGAAAATAAACATTAATGAGATCTAGAATCGAGCGGATGATTTAAAAGACCCCATGAAAAGAAAATCAGCAGGACTGTCTCCACTATTTAGAGAAGTGTCCTCTGGAAACAATGTATATAACCTTTAATGTATTACTTATGGAGACGGCCCCGGAGAAAGAGATCTTTAACCTTTAAATCTATTACTTACCAGGAAAGCAGAGCAACAAGCATGGAGCTTAACCTTTAAGAGGAGAAAATTTGCTGATAGCTCCGAAGTCAATAGCTGCTGCTTCTCACTTTTAATTACACACGTTGCCAAGACCAAAGGCGTTTGGGACATTCCCTCTGCGCTGAATCCCTCGGAAGAGGCGGATTTGGACCCGCTCCGGCTCTTCCCTGGAATAGGGAAATGATTTGGTCCCAATTTTGGAGTGCTGTCTGATACCCCGCTGCTTGGTCCGTGATAACTCCCAGAGGTTGTGGTGTCAAAGCGGGGTAGATTCATGGTGTTATGGGATTTGATTAAACTTGTTTAAGCTGATGGATGTCCCAGCCACCTTTTCGTTTAAGTTAAATTTAGAGATACTATTAAGCCACTTAATGCACCCAGGCAACGCGCGCGAGAGAAGCTCTGGGCAGTTATTTCTTAATGATAGCGACTCGGCGCCTTCTGACCGGTGCAGCGCGAGACATATACCCAGAGACCAATAAAGCAAATTAATGAGCTATGACACTGATTAGTAGAGCTATATGGGCCTGGCTATCTCGGAGGGAAACAATAAAAAGCCTCGAGAAGGAGAAAAACAAGGTCACAAGGAAGCAGTGGCTTCCTTGGAAGCGGTGGCTTTGCCTTGGGTGGCTGCAGGCCCACAGCCTTGGAGGGCTCCATCCTGCTTTATTCCTATATGGATTCCAGCTCCATTCAGCCTGTTGCTGCTCCATGAGGAGAGAAGAGCTGCTGGACCCGCTTTGCTCACCTAGGTTGGGCTTCAACTGTTGGCCATGGAGAAGAAGGTCCATGAAGTCTTGGTGCGCCGCCACGTTGACGTCTCGCGCTTCGTAGTCGCGTAGGTGGCTTCAACGGGTCCCAAACTCATCCTTCATCTTGGAGGCATCTCTGTGTTTCCAGGTGTCCTTTT